GGATATCCGAATTAGATGTGAACATAAAAAAAAATTCTGAGGCATTAATTTTTTCCTCTTGCTCCTCACTCGATGAAAAATAATACTGTAAAATTCTTCAACGAATCAAGACATGATTTTTACATTTTCTCGAAGGTTTCTTCATATTCACATTCAGTGCAGGCATGACTGTAAGTATCATCCTCTTCGTTGTACGTATCAGGGCCAAAAACATGGACATGTGTAGCTTTTTTAGTTTTATCATACATAGAACTCCTTACCTCCATCCTCAACTGTTTAACTTTTTTATTAAATCTTTTAATCTTCGTCTCCTGTCTCTTAATCTCCCGCTTCTCTTTCTCCTCGACGAGAGCTTCCTCAGAACCCCAAACTTCCAGTGCTCGTTTTTCAATCTGCAGGTGAAGATAGAGTTTCATGTGACCGTAAGCTGCTCTGTGTGGATTGGCTTTGAGAATAAATTTGAGTGGCGGTTCTCTCTGATCTAAATCATAATCACGCAGAAGATATGTGTCTTTAGCCTCAGTTTTTGTAATGAGAGTGTGTTTTTCCTCTCGATCCCTGCAGGCATCACAGACATTGTAGTCGAAGGTCTTCAGGAGGTAGGACTCTTGAAATTGCTTTTGACATTCCTCGCACGTTGGCAAATCGACGAAGATTGGGAATGGATCCTCTGTCCACTCCAGCATTTGCTCTTCCAATTCATCATCCTCTTCAATTAAAAATCCACCTCCACTGTCCACCACTTTTTTCCCTTGAACTTTTAATTGTCTTCCCTGTGATCCAGTCACATCGTCCGAGTTCTTCGCATAAGGATGAACGACAAGTTTAGATTTTTTCAAGAGCAAAGCTTTCTGCCGATTTCTCTCTGCTCTTTCTTTGTACCACTGAGGAGATTCACTTCCTCTCTCTGCAGATTCTTCATTCTTCTTCTCAGACATCAGGAAACTACTTCTAAATCTCGATAAATCTCTCGTGTAATAACTGGAACATTCCACAATAACTCAATTAAATGATAAAATTAATGAAAATGTTTATAAATAAGGACAACAACTGACGCCCTCTGGTACAATCAGGGGAGTATTTTTTCTCCTGCATCCATGCAGGTTAGTCGGTCAAATTGACTCAAACCCTCAAATCTATCAACACTGCCAGAGAAACACTCGAAAAACTTGGAAATAAATTGAAAAAAGACAGCTATGATGGCGTCGAAAGGATGGAAAGTGAGTAAACTCTCGAGAATCATGGAAATTAATTCCTCAAAGATTTCTTGGCAAGATTTCATAACTCATCTTGTCCCTGATATCATGATCTCACTTACGGATGTTCTCAGGTTGTACAAACTCACGTTCCTTTGATTAAATTCAGAAAAGGTGGAACTTCTAGAGGTAATTTCACCGAGTCAATGAGTAATACTTTACATATGACGGTATTTACACATTCAATTGAAAATTGAAAATTTTTTTATAGCAACTGGAGGTGCGACAACAGCGCAATCTTCGACTCCAGGGACGGCATCACGAGCTAGTGCCACCGGTGCAACTGGACCAAATGTTATCGCAAGACCGATAATTGATGATTTTCAATTACCTCCGAGATATCAGAGGAGACCTATTGATGAAAAAGAAATTGCCTACATAAATGTAAATTCCCTTCTCACACTATCAGAAGAACTCTGAATTTTTTTTTCAAGTTCGTCAGTTATTTTTACAATTTTTCCAGATATTTCTGAATTTACGGCAGATAGCGAAATTTTTGTTAAGGCCTTTGTTGTAGCTCTTATATTCCTCTACAAAAAATGTTCTGATGAAAATTTCGATATTGCTTTTCGATTTGTAGATATTTCTCGAAATGAAAATTTAACAATTCCATGAAATTCTGAGTCCTACATTTTTTACTCTAGACTCCAAGATATTCAGGGAAAAAAATTCGAGTAAAATTAATTACTCGTCTGACGGTTTCACTACTGACATGTCATTTTTTATGTTTACAGCGCGGTGGCCCCGAGTGATTATACAATCTCACCGATATCACTGATAATAAAGAAGAAATATGAAGAGTAAATGTTTATAGAGTCTTACTTAACTTATTATCAAAATTTTCCGCCTGTGTTTGATGGATGAATAAATCAATTGTTCTCGTTAAACAATGTGAAACATTTGGTTTTCAATAAAAATTCTCAATACCAAATAAAAAAAGTGAAAATAACTTTGTTTATATTGCCGTTTAAATTTCATTACCAGCTGACGTGTTTATCTATTTTTATTCAGTCTGACGTAATGACCAAAAAGTTTTCAAGATTCATACGAATAAATAATTCGAATGTTTAAGAAAACCAGAGAAGGATAAATAAAATAATAAATAAACAAGGACTTGAAAAACGATTCTGAAATAATTACCAGGAGCAAATAGTACCGGATCAAGTGCGATCGATGGATCTAAAATTTATTTCGGGGGAAAAAAAAAAACTTGGGGTCCTTTAAAGACAAGCTCCGACCTTGCTCTATTGACAGAAATAGCGCAGAAGTTTGTGAGCCACCGGTTCACCTCCATCTTTTCACGGAGGTGCAGAGTTGTTCCTGAATGTGACTAACGTGTAAATTTGTTTAAAAAATACTCCAAAAATAAGTGAAAAAAAAAATTATTAACCATGGAACGTACACGAACCTACGAGAGATCATCGAACGAGGATGTGCGGAA